TTGCCCTCGTTACGAATAACGATTTGTGTAGTTAGCTTTTATTGAAGATGATGAGTGGGGTTAGTTAGGGCCTGCGATGAGACCGCGGATGGACTACACTCTGAGTGTGTTAGTCAGGACCGCAATGAGACTGTGATGGACTTCACTCATTTATGTATTTTTGGTCCGCACAAGCGGCTCAGAGGTCGTTGAACCTATGATTTGAGTCTGCATGGTTATGCGCATATGTTGATATACCTATTTATCGGTCCGCACGGGGGTGCGATGAATTGAAGAATTTTAGAGAAGGATGATATGATATATTTGATGATAATCTAAGTGTAGGCAATTATTGACATTCTTTTGAAATGATTTATTATGAAGGTATTTCACAACTTGGTTACACGGGATAGTGTATTGATATCTGTTTTGCCCACTAAGGGAAGTATGAGGTGTCGAAACATATTTTCAGAGATGGTTGCTTTGATATTTCTCGTATTTGCTTTCTATTATTATTCTTAGTTGGAATTTATATTTAGAAATTTATAAATTGAGACACATGGTATATACATGAGGGTTTTCTTGTTTGGATTATTTTGCTCGACGTACCGAGTCTCGTGTTGTGAATTTCTAAATATAAATTTCATGTAGTACAGAGTAAAATGATTTAGGTAAACTATCCATTTATAGGTAGAGCCTCCATCATACCTAGAATCCCTTCTCCTGGGGCGGATGGAGATGATCTTGCTAGCGCTCTGACGTTGTGGTTTTCCCTTCTTTTCAGGCGACGGTTCAGAGTTTCGGAGAGTCGCAGGTTGACGGACTTTCAACATAGTCACCGTCATTTATTTATAGTAGTTTCTGCTTCACAGATATTTAGTTTTGATTCTAGTTTATTATTAGACTTGCATTTTATTTTGAGAGTTGAGAACCTATGTATATATTTTAGTTGACTCTTGTAGTTCAGATTTTTGGATCATTTGTATCAGATTGTTGGACATATTTTCTTTTATATCTGTTGAGACCTGATTAACTAAAAATTTATCATTTATGTCAACGTTCTATTTCCTATCTTTATCTCTTTATATCTGCTTGTACTTGTACTGTCTTATTTGATTCTACTAGAGAGATATTTCTGTGATGGTGAAACATGTCGTTGCACAGCGTGGGTGCATGACATGTTTGACATCATTGGGTTCACCTTAGACTGCATCCTTGTGTGAAACCAGGGGCGTCACACCTTCTCTGTCCCCTCCCATTCCCCACTTCCGTTAAATCCAACCCCTTCCGCCATTAATTATTCTCTCCCTCTTGAAAAATTCCCTATCTTTCTCTCTTCTCCTCTCAAACTAAGGTGAGGTTCAATTTTCTCTATGGTGGCTAATAAAAATTCCGTATCAAGAGGTCATTTGCCATTCTTTAGTGGTGGTGTCAGATCCGCCATTGTTGGGTTTGGGATCTGAACGTAAGGATCATTGTGAACGGTGATAATTTTTTTCACGAGCGGAGGATGAACCAATAGAATTCGAAGAAGATGTTTAGATGTAATATTGTGGATTTTTTTGCAAACTTTATAATGTAGTTTGTTTTGAAAATAATCATAAACTTTTTTCTTTATATGTTATATTGTAGTGATGGTTATTATGTTAGATACGTACCTTAATACAGTTATAAACTTGTAGTCAATTGTTAAGTTTAGCAGTTAGTTGTTAACCTTATGAGTTAATTGTTAATGTTATGAGTTAGTTATTAAGCTTATACATTTGTTGTTAAACTTGTTCGTCAGTTGTTAAGATTATGCCTTGGTTGTTAAGCTTATATGTTAGTTGTTAAGCTTATATGTTAGTTGTTAAGCTTATGCATTAGTTATTAAGCTTTTTCGTCAGTTGTTAAGCGTATGTATTGGTTGTTAAGCTTTTTCGTAAGTTGTTAAGCTTATGCATTAGTTGCTAAGCTTATGTGTTTACTGGTTAATCTTTTTCATTCGTTGTTAAGCTTATGCATTTATTGTTAAGCTTTTCGTTAGTTGTTAAGTTTATGTGCTGGTTGTTAAGTTTTTCGTCAATTGTTAAGCTTGTGCATTGGTTGTTAAGTTTTTTTTCGTCAGATGCTAAGCTTATGTGTTGTTAAGCTTTTTCGTTAGTGTTGGCTTCTTTGTTTTGATGATGTTTAACAAACAATTTATCACTAATGTTGTTTGTCTAGTGTTTGTGTATTTTTATTTATTGTAGACAAACAACGTGTTGGAGGATGGATGGAATTGCGCTTCAATGATCATATCCAATGGAGGTTGGCGGAATAGTGGGTGAAGCCTATGCAATTCAAGTTGAAGATCCAAGTTCTAGCTTCATCCGTAATGTGTACCAAGTCAAGCTTATTGAAGATCAAGATCAAGCTTGGGTAACATTAGTTTATGTTTATATTATGTGTGTTGGTATTTTAAGCTCAATCATATATACACACATTATATTGGTTTCCTTGTATATATATAGTTATATATATATACAACACAAGTTTTGGTTTTCAGTTTTAAGTTTTCATGCTTATAAATATGAGATTACATATTTATTATTGTGTTTTGGTTTAACTATATAGAAATAAAACAAATTTACATTCATATACATAATCATATGTTTCATACTCTATTTTATTTTAGAATATTGCATAGTATATGCAATTTTGAGAAAATATTATTTTCTTGGTTTATGGACTTAACAATGATCATATACATCTTTTATTAAGTCTATAAAATCATTTTGTAATGTTTCAAAACATGGTTAAGCTAAAATGTCAAAACTCATGTGTTTATATTTTCATGTTTTGAACTATTTTATAAAATAATGATATTTCTCATTTCGGAGGTCCTTTTTAAAAACTAGTTTTTGTAGCATGTTTATTATCATGTCTACAATCATCTCCCAAAGTTTCATAATTTTTGGAATTTATTTGATATTTTTTAACATGGTTTTAAGTTGAGTTTTTCTGTGCATTTCAGATCCGTGCACGTTTAGTCGACTCATTAGTTGACTCATGAGTCGACTCATAAGTCGACTCACGAAGTGCAGCGGAGTTGTGATTTTTCGTCTGCTGAGTCGACTCATATAAATCGACTCATAAGTCGACTCATAAGTTGACTTATCATAGAGCCGTTGTACAGTAACGGCTAGTTTTCTTTTTTGTTTGTTTATGGGTTTTTAGTCTTTTTCTTGGGGTTTTACTGATGTTTTGGGTTCCTATAAATACCCCCTTGCTCTCATCTCTCATACCAACTAATGAAATGATTTAAACAAGTTTAAAAGAGTTTTAAACAAGGGTTTAAGTTTGTTTAATGTTTGTTTAGAAGCTTTTAAGCAATTGAGGGTTTGAGTTTGTGAACTCAATTCCACAAGAGCTTGAGGAGATCATCTATTAGAGTTTGAGCAATCAACTATTCTCCCTCCATCTCTTGTCATCTATTGAGAAGTTTTCTAAACTCTTTTCTAGCTTTATATTTATTTGTTTGATTATCATCTTATTAAAGCTAGTTTTAATTGAGTTTAGATTTGATTAATCTCATTGTTACACACACCCACTTGAGCTTATTGTATTTGCATTCATAATATATTTGGGGTTGTGAGAGATAGTAACATTGAGTTGAGGCTAATTGAGTTCTCACATTGTTTAGAGAACAATCATTTGTTGTGTGCCTAACTATAAAGTCACTTTGTAATACACTTGTACACCGAGAGGAGTGTGTGGTGAGGACGGAATCGATACCGAGAGGAGTGGCATCGGTGGCCTAGTGAGAGGTGATAATTCCGAGCACTTGAGGGAGTCGATACGTGAGGACCAACACTTGAGGTTGTAGCTTGTTTGTGTATGTACTTTGTGAGGATTTGTGAGAGTTGTCGGTTGACTTGATAACCGAGTGTGTAGAGTTTTCGGTTAGCTAGAAAACCGAGTGTGTAGAGAAGTTCCGGCTTCCAAACCGGGTTGTGTAGTGGATTCTTCCCGGGAGTGGGGAGCGGAGACGTAGGACGGAAGGTCCGAACTCCGTGATCATTTCCTTGTGTTTGGGTTTGGCATTGGCGTATTTATTCTTACATATTGTTATATCGCCATTATTGCATGATCATATTGTTTACCCTTGTTTATATTGTATATCCTTGCACATATCTTGTAGCATATCATACTTGCTAGGATATATTTGTTAATTAGTTTTAATTGGTATAATATCAGATTAGATTAGCATAAGACCCTATTCACCCCTCCCCCCTCTAGGGTTCTTTCCTAGTGGCATTAGGGTCTAACAGTTAGTTGTTAAGCTTATGCATTGGTTGTTGAGCTTCTTTGTAGGTTGTTAAGCTTATTATGTTGGTTGTTAAGCTTATATGTTTGTTGTTAAGTTTTTTCGTCTAGTAATAGAAAGAGGAGGAATAAGAAAATAGCTAAATAATATTCATCAGTTGTTAATCATGATAAAACTTAACAATAAATACATAAGCTAAATAACAAAGGCATAAGCTTAACAACCGAGGAAAAAGCTTAACAACTAATGCATAAGTTTAACAACTGACGAAAAATCTTAACAACCAACGCATAAGCTTAACAACCAATGAAAAAGTTAACCAACACATAAGCTTAACAACCAAATGCATAAGTTTAACAACCAATGAAAAAGCTTAACAACAAAAACATAAGCTTAACAACTGATGCATAGTTTAACAACTAATGAAAAAGATTAATGAACAACACATAAGCTTAACAACTAACGAAAAAGCTTAACCAACGCATAAGCTTAACAACTGACGAAAAAGCTTAACATCTAATGCATAAGCTTAACAACTCATGCAGACGCTTAATAACCAATGCATAAGCTTAACAACTGATGAAAAAGTTTAACAACAAACGCATAACCTTAACAACCAATGCATAAGTTTAACAACTAACAAAAAAGATTAACAAACAACACATAAGCTTAAGAACTAACGAAAACAACACATAAGCTTAACAATTATTGAAAAAGCTTAATAATCAATGCATAAGCTTAATAACTGACGAAAAAGCTTAACAATAAATGCATAAGCTTAACAACCATGCCGTATAATAATCTGATATAAGCTACACAACGCCATTCCCTACTAGAATTGCTTTTATGAATAAGTACACGTAAATCCCGCGGTTGTACCTACAAACAAAAATAAAATAAAATATGAGCCTTTTTTAATAAATATTTATAGTATTATTTTACAAACTCTCTAATAGTTGAGGGTAGCTCTTCAAAATTCAAACAATTTACAACTCGACAACAATTCTCTTATCTCACTCTCTCTGTTTATACTCTCCACTAACGTTCACGAGGATCCTTATGTCCAAATCTCAACCGCAACAATGACGGATCCGACACCACAAATGGAGAAGAGAATAGTAACTGACCTCTTGATACGAAATTTTTGTTAGTCACATAAAGAAAATTGAACATCACCCTAGTTTGNGAGAGAGTAAGGCACAAAAATCCAAAAAAAAAAAACGAGTGGTCACATGTATAGTGAAGGGTGGTTTTGGGATATTATTATTATTATTATTATTATTATTATTATTATTATTATTATTATTATTATTATTTTGAGTGGGTATGGGCTGTCATTGTACTTAGGGGTTTCTATAAACAAAAAGATTGATTTTGAGGGTGAAGAGATTGTGGACAAAATCCTGAAAAATAAAAGATATTTTGAAATAAGTGTTGCGTTTTGTGTTTGAGTATGATTTAGCTCAAAAAACGTCATGGTTTTCAAATGCATGATGTTTTATTTTTGACAAAAACACCATACAAACAAGTAAAACACCATGATATCTAAACAGAGCCTAAGCAAATAAATTATTTAATTTTGAGGGCTAGAAGCAATTTTCCCTATCTCTTTTCAACAATTAAATAACTTACAGAAATATTGAATTTCACCTGTACAAAATAGGTTGACGAATCCCCAAGTCTACCAGTAATCTCGACAAGAACAAGATCCTCCACTGAAATGATGAAATCGATTCCTATCTCGAACAATGATCTCCCTTCCATAAATCTTCGATAACAATTTTGTTGCAGCATGACAGTCATCACAAACTCTCAAGTTCTTCACAATCCTGAGAGGGGTTCCTGGAGCTGTACTAATTAGACCAAAAGCCATAGCCAACTTCTCACTATGATAATTAAGTGTATTCTCTTTCTCTTCCTCATCAACATTCAATAACACTGTTGAAGTGTCAACAACATGACCAGCTAGTTTCAGCTTCCTCTTCATCTCATCAACCATTCCATAAATCCTTTGGATCTCAGAGTGAGACTTGTCTCCAGTAATAAACTCATGAACTGAGCCATTAAGTTCAATTGAGCTTATTCCAGGTACTTTCCTAGTCCCTGTGTCCTTCATAGATGTTCTCAATTTGGCAACACTACTCCATTTCTTCTGCAATGCATAAATATTAGAAAGAAGAACATTGTAGCCAGTGTTCGAAGGCTCGAGCCTGAGCAGCTCTTGAGCAGCCTCCTCTCCTAGCTCTGAGTTCTTATGGACTTTACAAGCAGCAAGAAGAGATCCCCACACTATAACATTTGGTTCCATAGGCATTTCCTTAACCATCTCCTGAGCTTCTTCTAGAAGCCCAGCTCGACCTAGAAGATCAACCATGCATCCATAGTGTTCTACCTTTGGAGTTAATCCAAAATCACAAGCCATTCTTTTAAACAACTGTTTTCCTTTTGCAACCAGGCCCGAGTGGCTACAAGCACGAAGAACTCCTATGAATGTGATGTCATTAGGCTTAACTACTCCTTCGATTTCCATCCGATAAAAGAGTTCAAGGACTTCATTTCCGAAGCCATTCATCGCTAGCCCATTAATCATAGCATTCCACATGCACACATCTCTCTCTCTTGTTTCTTCGAATACTCTATAAGAAGCTTCCACATCCCCACACTTAGCATACGTATCTACTAAGGAAGTAGCAAGAACGACATCTATTTGAATCCCTCGCTTGTCTATTAAACCGTGGATCCACCTCGCCCGATCAAGGGCTCCGGCTTCAGCACACAGAGACAAAAGGTTTACCACCGTCATCTCATTTGGCCTGATCTTAAAATCTTTCATCTTCCCAAACAATTCAAAAGCCTCATCAAAGCAATTGGCCTGCGAGTATCCCATTATCATTGCAGTCCATGTCATTATATCTCTTTCGCCCATTCTGTCAAAAAAAGCTCTAGCACTATTAATATCACCACATTTACAGTACATATCGATCAATGCCGTTCCCAAATTCATCGGAATTTGAAACCCATTTCTTAGCATATGGGCATGGAGCCATTTGCCCAGTGCCAATTCTCTAATGATCCCACATTCTATAACCCAGCTCAGCATTGTGATCACGTTTGGTGCTACATTTTCCCTCTGCATTCTCGCAAAGAGCTCCATTCCAGATTCCAATTCTTGGCATCTGATGTAGCCAGCAATCAACGCAGACCACGAAGCAGTGCTCCTCTCACTCATACAATCAAACACAACCCGCGCCCTTTCAACACTCCCACACTTAACATACATATCAATCAAACAAGAACCAGCATTAACACTCGGCAACCCATCAAAACTATTCTTTATCAAATACCCATGCATTGGCCACCCAATCCTCAGCTCTCCAATATCCGCAAAGAGACTTATCATGTTAATCATCGTCACATCACTAGGCCTCAAACCCAAGCCCATCATCTCTCTAACAACACCCAAAGCCTCATCAAAAGACTTCACTCTCCCATAGCTCCGAATCATCGTGCTATACGAGACCACATCTCTCTCGGGCATTTCATCAAACATCTTGGCCGCATTGCCAATACTCCCGCATTCAGCATACATTTGGATAAGGGAGTTATGAACGAAGACATCCCAATCAAGCCCGGTTTTGAGAACAAAACCATGAATTTCTCTGCCAGTATCGATGTCGTCCAGCTGAGCGCAGGCTTTGAGGATGGAGGGGATAGTGAAGGTGTCGAGATGGGATTGGGTTCTTCGGATTTGGGCGTAGAGATTGAGGGCGGTTGTGGGTTGGTTGTGCTTGATGTAGGAGGAGATGAGGAGGTTGAGGAGAGGGAGAGTGGGCTGGGCTTGGGCTTTGAGGGTTTGGGCGTGGAGTTGTTGGGTTTGGGCCAGTGTTTTGGGCTTTGGGTCGAGAGGTGGAGGAGGAAGAGTGAGGAAGGGTTTGGATTTGGAGAAGGGGATTGAGAGGAGAGGCGAGAGTGGAGGTCTTGCTGCTGCTGGCATAATAGCATCCATATGCTCGTTGTGGGTTTGGAAAGACGAAGACTCGAAGAGTGGCGTTCTCTTTTTCGTAGAGCTGTCCATACAGGCCAGTCCGGCCCGGCCATTATTTCCGGGTCCAGGCCGGGTAAAATAGGCCAGTCCGGCCCGGCCATTATTTCCGGGTCCAGGCCGGGTAAAATGTCTAGCCTGAATCTGGACATAGTGTGTTCAGGCCTGGGCCAAACCGGGCTGAGTATATATAAGTATACATAAATGACCATATTATACTATAATTATATATAATATACATTTGAAATATATATGTAAGTATATATAAGTATACATTAATGATCATATCATATTATCCTTATATATAAAAATATAACAGTCTGCTCATTTTGATAGTCTGCTCATTTTGATCTACTATTGTGGTTATTTCTAATAATGTCTTTATAGCTATCAATGACTTATAATTAGGGGTGCATACGGTTCGGATACGGCTCGGATATGATGCTTACCATATCCATACCCGCTTACCAATCTCGGATGCGGATACGGATACATATATACATCGGTAAGGAAAATTTATAACCATATCCGCTAAAATCGGATACGGTTACGGATATACATGTGAATATATAAGCGGATATGCATGCAGATACAAAACAGATATGAGAAAACTAGATAGTATTGAGAAAAACATAGTTCATGTGATACAAAAGAGTTCATTAATATGTCCATTATAATTGAAAAGTTAAAATGAGACATCTTGATCATCAAAATTAACCACAAATCCATAATCTAAGAATCGAAACTATCGTAAGAGTATGACTAATATGTATTCGGATATTTTGGATACGAATACGGATATTTCTCTACAAAACCATATCTGTAACCATATCCCATCGGTTATATGTTTGAGTAACCATATTCGTATCCTAACGGATATAGTTACGGATATTTTCTCGGATACAGATACAGTTTAGCATCCCTACTTATAATCAAAGAACCCAATTTATAGATGTCTTTATTAGGGACATATGGGATGGACCACTTAATAAGTGATTCGATCTCAGACAGATATTCTGTTAACTGAGCATTCTTAACTTTTTTACTAGTATTACGAGCCATCTTGGAAGGTGAGGTAGAGATTAACTCTGACATTAGGAGTTTTTTACGGAATAAATTATGTAAATTCTAACAAGCAAGGATTTATAATTGAAAATTTTCTTTTTCAAAGATAAACAAAAACTCATGATAGCACAGCTGTCAACGATTTACACTACCCTACACTGCTTCAATGAAAAACATTACACTACGCGACTTGAGTGACGTCCCACTAACATTCCTTTTATATTATCAACAAGAGAGAAACAAAGAACAATTTTTCCAAGCATAAATTTTCTACATTATTCATATAATATACGCTATATATATGTAAGATATATAATCTATTATATATATATATATATATAATATAAAGTATATTACTATATATATATATATATATAGTATAGTATTATGCCGAGAAGAAGAGAGATGAGAGAGAGAGAGAAGAGGAGAGGAAATATGGGTATCGCTGTACCAAGCAACAAATTTTATGTTGGTAGTAAGGTGGCTTACGATCCTAACCACTCATTCAAAATTAGGGGACCACATTCACATGGGATTGATGGAGTCACATGTGGATATTGGGGCAACCATTTGACATGAGTGGGATAGATTATGTCCGCTCACTACCCTAGCATAATTTTTTATGTTCTACGTATAAGCATACGCCATTTTTCTTATATATTATATATATAGTATATTATATATATATAGTATTATAGTATATATATATAGCTTATATAATATATACTATATATATATATATATAAGTATAATATCATATATATATATATATATATATATCAAAATAATGGGTATGCTTGATACAAAGCACAACAAATTTGTGGCTTGGTATTGATGTGTCAGATCCTCATTCATCACGTACCATGTGAATTTGTTCCAATTTGAATGAGTGGAGGGGGATTTGACATCTCACTACGCAAGCACAAATTTTGTGTGCTTGTGGTTACCAAGCATACCCATATTTCTTTTATAATATATATATATATATATAATATATATATATATAATATATATATAGTATATAATATATATAATATATATATATGATCTAAAAATCGATCGTGTCCGGCTCAGCCACTCGGGCCGGAAGCGGAGGACCAGTGCGGCCGCGATTTATACAGTTTATACATGTCTTTGACATTGCCCCCCCCGCACCCCCCCCCCCCCCCACGACATAAAAATACCCTACAGTTTAGATGACTTTCCACTTATAGTGCTCTCTCAGTTTTCGCCGGTCCGCTTAACATTGAAATATCCTAATTTTATAAATAGTACTTTATTATCTTCGTAGTTAAATGTTGAAATATTCTCTAAGAAGTTTACGTATGGCATGCACATGACAGACATTGGTTAATTATAACTCTAAAGTTGGTTGAACTAGAGTAAGAAAACTCTATGTGAGAGTAAATAAGATTGAAAATGAGTTTTTATAGTCGAAAATACCAAGTTTAAGGGACGAGTTGACCAATTTTTATCAAATCCAAGTTACATGGAAAATTTTAGGGGAAATTTCAATGTTTAACAATAACATTCCAACGTTTAAATAAGAGAATGTAGTAATATGCAACTTCAAAAATCATAGCTATTTAAATATCAAGGAAAAAAATATGATATGTGTTGATGACTAGGATCAAATAGTCAATCGTATCTAGAAGAGGATAGGTGTGGATTCGGGACGGGATCGGTTCCTCTTGAGTCCTCGCTGGGACGAGGTAGAGGAGATTGATGAAGGAGTCGTCTCCTTCTCCGACTTTGTCATGTCTCGCTTCCCAAAATACTGAGGAAACGGAACGCGAACAAGCCCGTGACGTATTAGACTGAGGAGAAATGTACTAGACCTTCTACTCAAACTAATACGCTAAGCGTCAAGCAATATAAAACGAAGCCACGGGTTCCTGATCACAGTAACGAGAATATAATAAACAACCCAGAACAACATGATACATATCACAAGGGCAATATCATCGAAGACATCATATACGAGTCAACATGTTATGATACAAAACGTACAACTGAAACTAGATAGTCATAAAATACATCAACTGAACTAAAAGAGAGAGTGCTACAAAATGATCTAATGTCCATCAACGACTATAGAAAAGAAATGGCTAAGCTTTGGCTTCTTCTTCTACTCGGCCTACAAGTACTCCTACTGAAACTCTAACTCTGGAATGTCTCCAAGCTAGACCCATTCATCCTCTAAATCCGACATACACCAGAAAAAACAGGTGTACTTCAGCATGCATGGCACGCGGCAAGATCTCACAGGGAAGGATAGAACAATCGAAAGACCAATGCAATAACAGATACAACAGAAATGACAAAAAGAAACGTGCAACTGGAAATCTAAAAAATTAAAATGCAATCCACCACTAGAGTATAATAATCAGAAGAAATCCATAAACATCCGAGTATCAAGGTCATACAACTAGCCATCCTATAATAGCTCCCTGGTCCATATCTCACATAGAGTCAACATTCATATCATCGGATAACTGACTGTTCACAAATCCTCTATGCGCATCCAATCCTGCGAAACAGTCGGCTAGAGGACTACACGCAATCCGATCTCGACCTGGTCCGAACTTAGGTAAAGCTCTGGTGACGAAACATGTCACTGACCAAAGTGGCGAAACAGGTCACTTGGCCCAACAAACCAACTCTAGGACGAAATAGGTCAGTGGTGCGAGTCTGGAAGATATATCAACAACAACATCCGATCACATGAATCAAGACTTCCCCATTCTAACTCTTCTTGCTTTTCTAAGTCAACAAACATGACCTGCACTAAATCTCTGGTCCACCTCCTAAATTTAGTCAACGCATACACGCATGTCACTAAGTCTTATTTATGATGCGCAAAGCCACTAAGTCATAAACTACTAATGATTCTCAATCACAATAAGGAAATAATAAATGAATACAACCGATCCTGTATAACGATATCATGGCATGTCAAATATATTAAAATAAAGATCGTAGAACATGAACAATAACTATGAATAGTACGGTGTGCGTGTACAGTAGTAGTGAACAGATCAAAAATAATTTCTTTTTCAAAATAAATTTCCTTTAAATTATTCTAAAATGATTCTTTTCCAAAATAAATTCTTTTAAATTATTATAATTTTCCTAGAATGATTCCGTTGCCAAAATAAATTCTTTTAGTTTATAATAATTATTCAAAAAATAATTCTTTATCAAACTAAAATTCTTTTCCTTACAGAAAATTATTCATCAAACAATACCACGCAGATAATTATATCACAGATCTAAAACACTAATATAACAATAAAAAAAGTAAATTCGCACGTACGACAAATATAAGAATTAAAATGAAACTATACCAGGATCGGAATCTTGCACATAGCTAATTTACAATATATCTAAAATTATACTGAATGATAAATGAGAAAAGGGATCTTTCCTCGGGTTTTCTTCGATACGTCGGTTGACGTATGAGTCTGTGATCTGCGGATGAGGCAACGGTGATGGGGGCTACAGGAGGAGCTCGGCGTGATGGAGACGGGGCTGCAGTGGCGAGGGTGGAGGACGGAAGGCGAGGGTTAGCTGGTGGAGGAGAAGGAGGGGAGCTCGGCAGGGCTGGTCGGTGACACAGCTACGGATCTGGGCTGCGGGCGTGGTGTTGACCTTCTTGTTTTGATGATGTTTAACAAACAATTTACTTCTAATGTTGTTTGTCTAGTGTTTGTGTTTTCATATTTATTCTAGGCAAACAACGAGTTGGAGGATGGATAGAATAGAGCTTCAACGATCATATCCAAAGGAGGTATGAAAATGAGAGAGAGAGAGAATAATGAAAATATATATAAATATGGTTAGGTTAAAAATAACTAAGAATAAATTAAGAAAATTAATTAGGGAAAATTAAAACTAATTAAGAAAATAATTAGGAAAATTAACAATAATTAGGGATACAAATATTATAATTAATACAA